CTTTCAATAAGTATTATTTATAATCTATATTGAATAAAAAAAGTTTCTATTTCAGATAAGAGTTTGCGTAAGCAATAGTACGAGTTGTTCTAAATTCATAATAAATGAGTTAACTTAGATCTGCACTATATATTAAAGTGACCGGTGGTTGGTCTCTCGGTGTGCATTGCTGAGCAAATTTTATGTCGTTGCGACAAACTAGTGGAGAAAGAATAATGGTTGATTGTCGGCAGTGTGAACAGCCAGCGATCAACTAACAGTATATGTATATCTCTTCTATTGAAACGGTATCTACATCTATTGTTCGTTTCTTGAGCGAGAAAATAGTCGATAGCTAATCGCTTACTCGTCGGCGTTGGGACATATAAGATAAGACGTTCAGATCCTCTTTACGCATTACAGTCACAATTCCTTCCTTTAAAATTTGCATTGTATATGCATCATATAGCAGTGCCATGGAGGCCGAGCACTGCCCTCTATCTGTTCGTAAAGTTTTATCACAATCGGCATTCTGAAGATTAGCCCGAAGAGACAGACACATAAAAAAAGTTGTTTATATCTGAATAGAATGTAAATAACCACCAAGAGATTATTATAAGCTAGTTATTTCAATGACAGAAACTTCAATTAGATAAGTAGAAGGTTGCATTCAGAATTTTACCATTTATTAAACATACTGACGAACGTAAAGACCCGTATCGTAATAGTTGACTCGATAAAATATTAAAATATCACTAAATCGCTATTTTAACGCCTACATTACATTTGTCTTATTATGTTTAAGCATAGAGCAACACAGGCCAAAGGTGGACCGGATGGGAGTAGCTATAGCTATAAATTAAAATGAAATCAACGCCCTAGGTACAACCTCCAGGGACAGTCAGTACCTAAAGTGGGAGCGCGACAGGTGCGAGTGTATGTCCAGGTTTTAGTTCAATTGTAAATTGGCAAAGCAGAGCTTACCTTTTACGAGTGAGTTCAACTACGTGATCAAAATAGTGTGTGACGTAGTTTATATCTACCACCGTTTAGGAATGATTCGGATCGGAAATAGCCATGGACCACGTGGACTTATTGACTGTTACAGAGGGGAACGCCTGCATATGTCTACTCTCTTCCTATCCGCCGGTGACCCGTGTTGCTCTATGTTTTAGGCCATGTCGAGCAAATATTTTATAAAGAATTTAAATATTTATCTTATTAAAAACATAACAGAATCTAACAGCTCGCGCCTGGCCCGGCCAGTACTGGCCGCATCAAGTACATACAAGACATCTTCCAGGTTGGACACACATTGTTTGCGTCGACCATCCCCGCGTCTACGGGTGTCTCTAGAATTCATAGCGGTAATGCCGAAACAGACCGACTCATCAACCACATCAACATACAGATTTCGTGTTACAGCAGATCCTATTCGCAGGGATCGTAATCGTGATTCTTGGTGATTTTAACGCCCACCCCGCCGAATGGCTTGGTTCACGTTTAACCGATCATGCTGGGAGATCTGTTAATGATTTTGCCTTGGCATGTGGTCCGACACAACTGGTTACTTCGACTTCGTGGATTCCAGATGTGGAAGATCAAACACCTTCCCTATTGGTTGATTAGGTTTCCGTTGACGCCACTCTAGGGTCTTCAGATCAGTCTTGTCCGGAGTGTGGTGTCAGTCACATTAAAGTCGCGGTTGCATTCTGCAGGCTGCCGCCGTGTTTGGCACTATAGGTTAGACTATTGGGATGGGATGCGGTCTTTTTTTACATCCTACCCTTGGGGGTGGGTTTGTTTCTCACCGGACAATCCCAGCGTTGTTGCTGATTCTGTCACTAATATGGTACTTCAGGTTATGAAACTTTTTATTCTATCCTCTGTGGTGCCCATTGTAGGCAGATCCCAGCTGTAGTTTGGTCGCTCCTGTAAAATAGCATCTAAGCAGGAGTGCTACCGGGCCTGGGCTGACGCATCAACGTATCGGGATGTAAACAACAGCACTCTTAACAAGAAGTTTAATTCCACCTCCACGGTTCTTCAAAGGAGTCATTGTCAAGGCAAGGTCTAAGCACTTTGTGTTTTCTATCGCATCTACTACAGGGAGAGCTCTTAGAAATTGTTTGAATTAGTTCGAACCGCCAAACTTCACGAACGCACATCGTGTCAAAATTCACGATACCATCCTCACCGTCTGGATGCTTGGCGGTCCACCACTGTGCGTTTTACTAGGAGTTTTCTTCCTCGTACGACTTCTCTGTGGAATTGTTTACCACCGGCGATTTTTCCGAACCGATATCACTTAGGGACCTTCAAGAAAAGAGCTTACTCCTTTCTAAAAGGCCGGCAACGCACTTGCATTTCCCTGGTGTTGCGGTTGTTCATGGGCGACGATGGTCACTTACCATTAAGTGATGCGGCTCGTTTGCCCCCCCTTCTATATAAAAAAAAATATTTTAATGGGACAATGAAAATTATGTATGATTTTTTCGCATTTCAATATAAAAATAAACTATACAGAAAATATACCTAGATAGTAGAAGTTGTTAAGCTAAGTAGAAAATTTTATAAGCTGATTCAAAATTCAGTCTTGACAAAGATGCATCCCACTCTCTCTTTGTCATCGAACGTATACCGTACCCACATAGACGAGAAAGGATTTCTGTGTACAACATAAAATTGAGTGTCACGTATTTCTTGTTAGTATCGATTCGTTTTAGTATTCTTTTCCATCTATCTTATCGCACAATATAAAAGGTGTATTCTTCTGCTTTACATTTGCCTCTTTATTTCCACTACTTAAAAACGTCATGTCCACACTAAAATTATAATATATTATGTGAAAGATTTTTGAATAACAAGGAAATAGTTTAACGAATTTAGATAAAAAGTGGCTTACAGATGGAATGAGTACATGGGACTCTTTAAAATAACATATGAGAAAACTGTATGTAAAACGTATCAAAAAGTATACCAGTTCTAGTGTTAAGTTTCCGGCGTTAACTAGATATTTATTATTTTCCATAGGAAGAAAAAAAATTAAAAATAAACGCTAAAATCCTTTAAATTAGTTTTATTCAATATGTATTATTCTCGTAAATATAAGAAATCATTACGTATATAGTTTTTTAAGTGAGCTTTCCACTAAATTCTGCTGAACAAAATATCCTTTATACTCTCGTAATTTCTGGGAGTGTTATGTTGAAATTTTCCAAGATACGTAGTAATAGTATGTATACCTATATTTTTTGTCCAGGGCATGTTGGCGAACTTCACACGCCCTCAAAATATTCCATTCCTAGACATGAAGGTTTCCTTAATATATTTTTCATCACTGTCTAGCAAGTGGCAAGTTGACATAGCAAAATAACAATTAACAAATTCGTTGGTTCTGGAGGGATCAAATCAAGTTTTTTCGCATGCTGTGAAATTTAACACAATCACTTATCCCCTGAACTACCACGGCTACTTCTTGTTGAATGACACTATTTTTTTAAATAAGATGTACTAATAAGTAAATACATCTTTACATTTAATACATAACTTTTTTACCACGTGGTAGAGCCATGCTGCAGTTATATTAGAAGTATAGTTGTAGCACGAATGGTCGGCTCGACCGCGGAAGGACCACGCTCTCACAGAACACCAGCGTCAAACAGTAGCTTAATGCTGCTGTGATTCGTATGGTGAGTGTAGAGAACCGGAGACCCTTTTTACTGGAATCGAGGCACTTCATCTTAGTACTCACGGGTGACAACGCATCTGCATTTTGATTCGTAATCGAGGATAGATTGTTAGTTAGTCTTAGTTGTAGTGGCTGCAATGTGATTTTTTTTCGAGTGTTGCTAGCTGTTAAGTTTTAAAACTACCAGTTACGTTCTAGAGTGTTGTCATCAAAGAAAAATATAACAATTTTTTTCCACCGTGTACTCAAGGCTAACTATAAAATCCTATAAGTGGATATGTTTCTATCATTTTAGTGTCGCTTTTTCGTTTTTTCGAGTTTCAAATCACGATTTAAAGAAGTTTTTACTTCAAAATTCATAAATAACAATACGGACTTACTTTTTAAATAAACTGTACACTAATTCGAGAAATTGATCGAAAATCGGCCTTAATCAATATAAATAAATGCGAGTTATTATACATACATATACTTGTGTGAACTATCCAAATGGGAGTTGATTGTCTTCATCAGAGTCTACTCAAGTCAATCAATAATCAAATTGGTGTTATTAATGCAATACAATTATTTTTTCAGTCTTTAATTTCTTTTTCCAAATAGCTCATTATTATCTCGAAGTAAGTTATAAAATAATTTAAGTTGTTCTTCCGTGTGGATAAGAACCATATTTATTCATACTGTATTTAAATTGTTTGTCCGTGTTTACAATTTAAGAATATTTTTGAAACTTCGAGATTTAAATCAAACCTTCTTAGACTTGAAAAAACTTTGTTATTCTACGTTATTAAAAACTGTTTTCTTCTAGTTTTGTAAACAAAACAACAAACAATGTTTTAACTAAATTCAATATTTTATTATCTTTATGAATGAATATTAGTAAACGGCAACCCTTTTTAAGGAAAAGGGAATATGTTTACAACCAGCGTTTTCTACTATTTCTCCCAAACTCGTTTTTAGTAGAGAAATTTCTTTTTCGTCTAGCAGGGTGTCATGGCATTATTCATCAGCTGCTTGTCTAGAGAACGTGTTTTTTAGGTTATAGAAATTCGCATCTGTAAAAATCCCACATTTTGCTAATTGTTAAGGGGTAAGTAAAAATTATGTGTTTCGAAATATATTATTCTTTATGTATTTGCTAATATTTATGAAATTATTTTTATATTTTTTTGCTCACTCACTTTTTCTTGGTAAGAAATATATTCCCTGTACCCAGCACCGTTACTGAGTTTTGATAATGCACGAATAACATGTTTTTTGTTCTTTCAGAGTATTTTGTCACAATGTCGAGGATTTTTTGAAGGATAAGGATATTGAAGGACTTTTAGAAGAAATGTTTGATATTCCGGATGATAGTAACTCGGAAGATGATGTAGAATCAGAAGGAGAACCAGAGTTGAATTTAGAAACTTTGCAAAATCTTTTAGAAGATGATTCCCAAAGCCAAGAAAACCAAAATATGCCTGATACGAGTTCGAATGTCTCTATTGAGATTTTTCATAATTCACAGAGTGATGAATCCGAAGCTGAGATTAGTATACTTGAAGAGCTAGAAGAAGGTTCAGATGAATCTGAACCAGAAGAAGATGAAAATTGGCGTAAAAGTTTATGGATCAGTCGACCGGAACCAGAAGAATTTGACCGTCTCAAAACAGTGCTTGTGTATTTATTGAACAGCAGAGCTCGTCCTTTGGCACACTTTGAGAAATTTTTCAATGAAAACGTGTATGATCTTATTGTTGCAAAGACAAATCTCTACGCTGAACAAAAGAAACTATTGCATTGGGAGCCAGTAACTATACCCGAAATTAAAGCATTCCTTGGCATTTTGATTATCATGGTATATTATTTTACCTCACATATATTTATATTGGTCTAGTGATCCAGGGTTTAGAATCGATAAAGTGGCCAATGTCATGCCAATAAAACGATTCAAAAAATACTGCAAGCGCTACATCTTAACGACAATTCCCTAGAACCTAAAAAAGGAACCCCAGGCCATGATAAACTGTACAAGTTGCATCCTCTAATTACCATGCTCAATAATTCATTTCTAGAAAACGCGAAGAATTCTTCGTTGCAATATATTGACGAAAGTATGATAAAGTTCAAAGGGAGATCTTCTTTGAAACAATACATGACACTCAAACCAATAAAACGCGGTTACAAAGTTTGGTGTCGTAATGACAGTCAAACTGGATATTTATACCAATTTGAGATATACACGGGCAAGACAACAGCGGGGGGCAGAATAAAGCTTAGGCGCTGACGTGGTAAAAGGATTGACACGCAAACTAATGCAAGAAGAATTTATCAACAATGTCGCGTTTGATAATTATTTTCCAGACACTTCCCTGCTCCAGTATTTACATGAAAACGGTTTATTTTGTACCGCAACAGTCCGGCGAAATAGAGTTGAATTGCGTGCACTGATAAAAGAAAATAAGAAGGTGAAATTACAGAAAGGCCAATTCAAATGGAGAACTAATAGGGACGTTGCTTTCTTAGTTTAGCAGGACACAAAAGAAGTGTTAGTGTTGAGCACAGCATTTCACCCTAAAATAGGAACGACTGCAGTTAGCAGAACTCAAAAAGATGGCACCACTTCATCAGTCAAATGTCCAAGAGCAATAAAAGAATATACTCAGAGAATGAGTTGTGTAGACCGATTCGATCGAATGAAAGCCTCATACTCTGTCGGTAGGAGGAGCAAACGCTGGTGGCTATGGATTTTTTACTTTTTGTTAGATGCAGCTATCACAAATGCTTTCGTGCTTTACTCAGTTTCAATTTCTTCGAGGGCAAGAAAACAAGTAACTAATCTGGAGTTCTGGCACTGGCGCGAGGGCTCATTGGAGCACACAGTAGAAAAAGGCGAAGATCTGTTCCAAATTACGTCACTAAGAAACTACTACTGGGCTCTGATAATTATCAAAAGGCCACCAACAAAGTGGGACCTGAAATAAGATTTCAAAATGTTGGTCTGCTTATTCTTATAGATGCTGTAAATACTGCAGCACAAAGAAGCACGATAAACGAAGTAAAATTACCTGAAGTTCCATTATGAATTGTCCCTTGTTTCCGTCAATATCATGTTAATAATTAATAAAAGAATTTTTTTTATTTTCCTTCCATAGTTTGCAATAAACTTCTCGCTCTGACAGCTCGTGACATCTTATACTCCCGTTCGCTCGGGACCTTAATGGCGGGAAAATTTGCAAGTTAGCAAATTTTTTGCTATATTGCAAATTTTGCTATATTTTCACTTTGAGACAATAATTATGGATAAAACTTACAGAAATTCTTGTTGAATGTATAAACTATCGATCAAAATTAATTTTGGTTGCTATAAATTGTAATAAAATTCATAAATTACCCTTTATAGCATAGTAGTACTATATACTTCACTTTTAGTGCCAAAATTACTACTAATTTGAATTCTACACTTTTGTTTTTGGAGAAATTTATATGAAAATGTTTGGAAATATGTATATTTTTATGTTTTATGTGTTTCTATTCGTTACTCATACCAAAATATTAAAAAATAAAAAATAAATAAATAATAATATTTATCTGTATGACATTTCGAACAATATTTCAAAAATATTTTTGTGTGAATTTGAAATAAATACAACGTCATGTTATTTGAAATATGTTAGAAAACTATTTTTTACTTACATTTTACACTAAAAATTAATGAGAATTGGAAAAATAATACATTTTTGACCCAACCGCCAAAATGGGCCTTCCGGATTTCGAAGTACTTTTGGCAATTTACTTTTCACTTTTTATACCACAAATTATATATCTACGTGTTTACTATATTACAAGGAATACAAAAAGTAAAATATTTTCGTTTTAAGTCCAGACAAAAATATAAAATTCTATAAAAAAGACGGGGCACCTTTATCAATGCGACACGTGGAACGCCGAAAGTTCAGAGTGATTTCTTTTTTTTTCTAAGAAACATTGCCAGGTTATGGTTTAAAATAAAAAAGTATATATATATATATATATATATATATATATATATATATATATATATATATATATATATATATATATATATATATATATAACTACCCGATACAAGGGTTTCCTTCTCCCAAATGAAAAAAATGTGGGGGGAGGCACACGGCTCCACCACACACGCCTTATGTGCCAACCAATTAACGCACTGCCCCCGAAGGGGACGTTAAGTTGGGAACTGGACCGTATTCCACAGCAAAATGACTGGCGAACCATTAAAATAGGGCTTGGCCCTTTGATAGTGCGTAAGGAAAAACAACGACCGAAGTCGCGCATGTCAATGCGTGTAAAATCTAAATTTAGGCAAATAGGCACACTCCCATAAAAAGCCCTTTGTGAGCGCCACCACCTGCCAGACCACCATTTCTGCAGACGTGATGTAAGTGTATGGTATCACCACCGATTGCATGATCAGCACGGCTACTAGCCGCAGAGCGTGTCATGAGTCTACCGCTCACGTCAAGGGAATGGAATCCCACGTTGTGCAGCTTACCTTCCAGATCCTTCCTTCAATTACCACACGCATGAGGTCGACACATAGTGTTGCGCGCCTAAGTTCATGTCTGGTACCTGGTACTAGCGCCATCTAGTGCCAGGGAACAGAGCGAGAAGAGCTTTCCAGAAAATGCCATAACTGATCTTTCAACCAACAGCACGATCTAGTATCAAATAGAAGAACTAACCCTTCTGGAAAGCTCCGAACTCGTGCTTCCTGCACCTGGTTGCTCAGCGGCTGGTATATGCTGGAATATTCTGGATGTATCGGTAAAAAAAGGCGTTTATAAAGGCGTTGAAGCCCGCCACCGGGGCTGTATTGAATTTGGCGGTACAAGCGAAGCTTCGGAGAGAATTAAAGTGAATCAGTGTGATTAATTATTAGAGTGATTTAAGTTTTAATTGGTGTTCTCTAATAAAAGTGTAAATTTTGGTTATTTAATCGGCAGTTTTTATTGTCACGAACCCTAAGTTCGTAGCAATTGGTGTCAGAAGTGGGATAAAATCATGCCGATTTCACCTAAGGAGGAAACGAAGGGTGTCCGTACCCGTAGTCAACGCCAGCAGGAGACGGACCAAAGAAGATTTGGTGGTGCAACGCCGTAGACGTCGGAGGGCCAGCCGCCGGCTGCAGGCCCGTCTGTAGCTCCTACATCTGCAACATCTTACTTAGGTGCTCTGATGGTGATACTGCAGGAGCAGGCTCGTTGGTTGAAAGAGCAGCATGAGGAACAGGCTCGCCGATAGGAGTAACAGGCCCGGCCCGCCGACAGGAAGAGCAGATGATCCTCGTGAAGGACATTCACGCTAGCTTGGAGAAAGAGACAAGGGAGGTGAAGGATAGGGTTGCTCAACATGACGACCGCCTGTCGGAATCTGAAACCCGAATCGAGGAAGCTAATATCCGAATGGACCAAGCAAATCATCAGGTTGACAACATAATGGCTGACATGAAAAAATCACTGGACGAACTCAAACTTGGGGATGGAACTACAGCTCCCGTAGTAGCTACTACACCTTCGCTACGTGGGTTCAACATGCCATCGTTCGACGGGACTTCTTACTAGTCGGCCTACAAAATCCAGTTCGAAGCTGTTTTGAAGACGAACGGCTGGAATAAAAGTCAGGCCATGACTGCTCTCACAATAGGCCTGCGCGACAAGGCCTTAACAGTTCTGGAAGCTCTCGGTGAGGAAGTGACTTAAGAGCAGCTCCTTGAGGCATTGGAGGCGAGATATGGCGACACTCACCTGGAACACGTCTTTCGTGCGCAGCTTAAAGACCGCGTGCAGCGCATCAACGAAAACCAGCAGCAGTGGGCTCTAGAGGTGGAGAAGCTGGTGCAAAAAGCAAACCGGTCTGTACCTGCGCTCATCGAAGGGAACCTGGTGCAGACATTCATCGACGGCATCCGCGACCTTGAAGTCAGAGCTGCTGTGAGGCTCGGGCACCACGAGAAGATTAAAGACGCCTTTGCCCATGCACTGGAGGTGGAAGCTGTGCGGCATGATCTTCGTTTCCATCGCATCGGGGAGGTTGCAGCAGCTACAGTTCAGAATCGCAATTAAGAATACATCCCTAGGTACTACGGCTGTGGGAAAGGGGCCATCTTCAATCCAGCTGCCCTAAGCGAACAATAGAAAGGGAAGGTGATCTCGAGAGGGTAGTGCGGCTAATAGCACCGCCTGGCAGCAACAGGGAAACTGGCGGGTGCTGGCTGATGTTAAAGGAGCCCTGAGGATCTCGATATCACAAACCCATGATGGGAACAGTTTAATCATCAAGGGCGAGATCAACGGAATGCTGTGTAAACTGACCATAGACACTGGAGCCTCTCGCACGGTTGTTAGTTCCCAACTTATAGGTCAGTTCCTTGGTGACTCCGCATATAACCAAAAATGCATTAATTTGGTAACAGCCACCGGTCAGCGCATACCCGCCCGTGGAGAGAAGAAGGTGGAGTTGAAGCTAGGCAACATGATTTACCTGCATAATGTCATCGTGGCTGATATAATGGACAACTGCACCCTGGGCCTAGACTTCATGAGGAAGAATTGTTGTGAGATCGACGTTAAGAAAGGTGTTTTGAAATGTGGACAAGAGGAACTTTTCGTGGAAGAGGCGTTACCAGGGAACGTGTACAGCTTTAAGAAGATTGTTCTTCTTCCGAGATCGGAAACGATTGTGCCGGTTAGTCTTCCTCAAAATCCTGGGCAAGCTCATCGTTGTATACTCGTGGAAAGGGTAAAAAATGACCTTCCATAGAAAGTAGCTCGAACCTTGGTCAGAACCACTGACATCTCAGGAGTACGTGTGCTGAACCTTTGTGACCAGGAATCGATTATAGAAAAAGGC